ATTGGGTCGCCTTCTATGACGCCTTTTGTTCGTTGGTTGACACCAACACCGCTTTATCAGATGGGCAAAAATTACATTATTTGCGCAGTTGCCTAAAAGGTGATGCACTAAGCATTATTAGTGGCTTCAAAATCTGTGATGCAAACTACACAGAGGCGTGGGACTTGCTAAAGTCTCGCTATAAAGTAATGCGAGTTATTGTTGAGGCACCCCTCAGGGTGATAGCTGACGTTCGCAAGGCTTCGGGTGACACTGCTGATGCTATAAAGGGTGTTCTCGATGCAATTCAGCAACACATACGAGAGCTTAAAGCATTAGGGCGTCCCGTAGACTTCTGGGACGATTGGTTGGTACATAATACAGTAAATAAACTCGCGTTCGAAACCCGCAAGCAGTGGGAGTTATCGCTTATTAGCGATGAACCCCCCACCTTCGAACAACTGACAAAGTTTCTGGAGATTAGGTGCCGCTCATTGGCAATGATTACCGCGCCTGTTCCGCAGGCAGCAACTATTAAGCCGACGACGCATAAATATGCGGCGAAATCAACCAAAGTATTTCACGCAATTCCAGAGCAAAACCCCGCGCGCTGCATGTACTGCAATGCAGCTCATAAGATCTACTCTTGCGACAAATTTCGTAGTTTAGATTTTACTGCAAAATCTAAATTTATTAAAGAATCCAAAGCTTGCTTGAATTGTTTAAGTCCAGGGCATTACAAAGAACGCTGTAATAGCTCATCCGCTTGCCGAATATGTCATGAACGACACCATACGCTGCTTCACAGTAATACACGTTCACCCGCCGCCACATCGGCTCATGTCGTCGATGCCATCGCTGCCGCTTCGAATCCCGCATCTGTAAGCAACCATGCAACTGGTTCATCTGCCACCGCTTTAGCAGTGAATAGCGCTGCTTCACACGTTTCGTCCTGCTTGAGTGCTGGTTCCATTCCGCTACCTGCAACGCAAAAATCAGTTATATTATCTACCGCATTAGTAAAGATTCGAGACTGGTCATTGGCAGACCGCATGTTTATTGTTCGACACCGGGTCGCACGCCTCTTTTGTAACGGAGGCATGTGTACAGCGTTTGGGATTAACACGTTCATCGTCTTCTGTATTTGTCACAGGAATTTGTTCATCGCAAGGCGGTCGCTGTAGAGGCGAAACGCTGCTCACGCTTTCGTCTAATTGTTCGGATAAATGCTACGATATTACCGCGCTGATTCTTCCGAAAATCACCAACGATTTGCCGACGCAGACCTTGAGTGTTTCTAGTTGGCCACATATCCAAGGCTTATTCCTAGCTGATCCACATTTCGCGAAGCCTGGCCGCATAGACGTACTCGTAGGCATGGATGTAATGGATCAACTAATCTGTGCGGAGCTTCGAAAAGGTCCGTCTGGCACGCCTATGGCCCAGAAAACAGTTTTCGGCTGGACTTTATTTGGAAACGTTGACAATCTTGGTTCGCAAACGCCTAGTTTGCAATCGCTGCATTGCGATGTGCAATTAGATCGAGCGCTCGCTAGGTTATGGGAGCTCGAAGACTCGCCGCAGAAACAGCATCTCACGCATGAGGAAAACTTCTGCGAGAATCACTTCAATTCTACAC